GCAACCTAAAGAATGGTAGAAAATTTTTGCAATCTACTCATCTGACGAAGGGCTAATATCCAGAACCTACAAAGAACTCAAACAAATTTACAAGAAAAAAACAACCCCATCAAAAGCTCTGCTCTTAACCAGAAAGCAGTGGGATACAAGGTACTTGTCTAGGAGCACACCATTGAACTAATTGTCATTTAATTATTAGCAAACATTAGGCTGAGATATTGCTGCCCAGTAGGAAGACTGAACATATCTGGTGTAGGGCACTAACAAATCATGGAGAAACAAAAATTCAGGGCAAAAAGTGGGGCGGGGGTGCCACTACATAGCCTTTTCAGAAGTTAAGGCCCCTGACTGTCTTAAATGGGTCCTGGGTTGGGAGAAATAGAACAATGGAGGCCTTTCTCAAATGTAAGCAGTTTATCCATTTCATTCTTTTAGATACTCTACATTCTATCACCAAGAGAGATCTGTTTGGGGATATATCATTTGGGCCCTGGTAGAATGGTTTTTACTAGTCAGAGTTGTGTCATCAACCTGTATGAAGATAGTATAAAAAACGTTAATTGTGGCAGTCATGGCTGTATTTCCTGCACCGATGTTCAAGATATTACTTAATAGAAATTAATTATGCACACTTTCTGAAAAATCACAGGGGACATTTGTTCTGTTCTCAGAGAATATTATAATTCTCCACAGCAACTGGTCTGTTTATTTGATGGGTACTGTAAATTATGATAATGCTCATTTTCTCTTTTGCTTTGGCTTTAAGACCACAGCCAACTTTCTAGCCCAACTCTGAACTCCTCCTTTAAGACATTAAAGTTATATGAGCCTACCTTATCCTTTCTTTTATTGAATTTGAAAATCCATATGTTAATTTTTCTTACTGTAAATGTAATACATCTTTAGTGAGCAAATTTAGAAAAGTATACAAATGGATAAATCATGATATAATTTTGATTTCCTTAATTTTTTATTTTAATTTCTATTTTTTTCACATATTAAATCTACTCTTAAGCTAGACTAAATATTTTCTGAAACAAGGCAAAATATAGCATTCTGATATCTATAGTTTATTCACCAGAGTGTTACCGAATGTTTTGTTCATTAAAAGACCATTATAATTGTCTCTGCTTAGGTTATATATGTGAGGATCCAAACTAGTGTACCCACCTGTTCTAAGGGGAGTAAGGTCTGTGTAGTTGGCCCAACAGCTGCTAAACGGAATTGTTGTATTTCCACTAAGGCCATTGACTTGGTTATTATTGTGGTCCTTGAGTATGGCCCTCAAAGTTAGTGCAGTAATTCCAACTGATACACAGTTACCCTAAAAAAAAAAAAAGTAGAGAATTATAACAATTGTTCTGTTTCCATGCTTTTAAAAATATATGCAAAACTTTATTTTCAAAAATGCCTCTTTATAAATTGAAAAGCTGCAGAAGCTCCTTGTTGCACACACAGAGTTCATAAATCTGAGCAGCAGAAGTTCATTTAACATCAACATTTTTAAGACAGTACAAGATGGCACCCTTGGATATTAGTCCAGCTTCTAAAGGGGCTGGGCGATCCTCAGGCTGCCAGCACACCAGGATGAGTGAAACTGGCTCATCCTTCAGAATTTGTAGCTTAATTCCTTCACTTAAGTAAAATTTTGAGTTATGACTTACGTCAGAATCTGTTGCCTTTACCGAAGGCTGCTGAGGAAATGGCTGTCCCGGCTGTGCTGCCACCGGCTGAGTGATCACTAAGAGTGAGGACACGAAGGCCACATGATGAACAGGAAACGCAGACCTTTCAACTGGCTGGGCAGTTACCTGTGAATGCACAAGGGATGAATTGGTTTCTAGGTGATAAACTATACTCAGCAGCAAACTCATTTTAGCCAGGCTGAGTGTAATATATTCATTATTTATTTTAAAATATGCTCATTATGTAAAATTAATATAATTACAATATTTCCTCCATTAAATTTATGAAGCATTGTTATAAATATGCAAAGCAAAGCAAATTTGGAACCAATACACAACTTTTGGAAGATATGCTCCTTTGTTCAAACAACTTTATTATCATTTTAGCGAGCCTATGAAAAGTCAACAATAAATAAGAAACACATGCCTTCTAAATTATTGTTTTGAAATAGAAACAGACAGTTAAAATAAGAAATAAGTAATGATATTTTAAGTCCTGAAAAATGCATTTTTTCTAGTTGCATTTTCTTACCTTAATCCAGCCAGAGTCACTTGGTCTGGGGAGGGGATTAGTAATAGTCATGGATGAAATGTTAAATCCAAGGATACTACTGATTTTTCCTGAAATTACAGCTTGTCCAAGAGAACCAGCAATTTCCTGGAGTTCAGATAATTGCATCTGACCTGTAGGGAAACAGTATGGTGACATTTGGATTATAAAAGCATAGAACTGTGAAAACACGTGAGAGTTTTTCACTTTAGCTTTCTTTGCATTGCTCCATTGCATTATAGAATTCCAAGGCTTTCTGATCTTCCCTGAGCAAAACACAACAGTCATATTAATGAGGGGAGGAAAAGGAAGAGCTCAGGAGAATATACTTTAAGTTGGAATTAAAGGAAAAACAAAGGTAGATAAAACAGATACAAGAAAAACGAATGAAAACATAGTGGGAGAATATATGTCTCTTAATTTAATACTTTCTCATACCAATCTTTCTTTACCAATGAAGCATTATCATGCATTTCTATTATCATATGTCATTTTAAAAGATAAAGTGTTAATTTTGGAATGGAAGGATTGTTAGAATCTATCATATTATGTGTATGTATTCATATATTAGTTGCTAAAGTTATTAAATTACTAACCAATTGTTACTGGCTTTGGACATTTGACAATTCTCAGTTACTTTTAACACTACATATAGTTTCTGTTCCCCTTTTCTAGCATGGCAGGTCTAGGGTTTCCTCTTAAACCTTCTGCCCCCATAGTGCTCCTTACCTTATAAAGTGGTACCGTCATGCACCATATTCCTTTTTTCAGAAGCCTGGTAGTTTTGCTTAATCCCTGCTCCTTCACCTCTCCACTACACCACATCTAATCCATTACCAATTTCTAAATCTCTCTGTCCCTGCTGTTAAAGTCCTAATTAAAGCCACATCAGCAGGGTTACTAAAACCACCTTTAATCTGACTCTCTGGAGTCAGACTGATCTTTTAAGAAACAACTGTAAAACAGGATAACGTTTTGGTGTATTGCAGGCCTTGCTAACCCCTTGTTCCTAGGTATCCTGTACCTTCTATATCCAGAGTCACGCCTCGAGGAATCAAATCACTGAGTTTCTTCCGTTAAAGTTAAGCCATAAAGCTTAGAGTACTCAGGAAGAAGGAGGTAACATCTTGGGCCAGCAGGTCTGACATGACACTATGAACCCCACAGTCCTAAGCCATTTCATTCTTTGTCAGTTTAAAAGGACTCTTTTGGATGATGCAGACTCTTTTGGAAAAAGGCTCAGTCTTTCAGATTCCTCCCTCTCCTCATACTCCCTCCAGAAACAGCCTTCTCCAAGGGGGCCTCCCAAGTCTGAGGGCTTGTGTATCTGGCTGTAGCAGTACAGAACTGCTTCAGGTCCATGCACTACTACTACTACTTTGTCTTCACTGGTTTTTGGCATGGAATGGCAGGTCTGATCCGGTCTGCACTGTTAACAGGTTCTCGCTGACCATTTGACATGTGAGGGCATTCATTTCTGCTGATTGCCATCTAGAAACCAAAGACCTTAACTTGAAGGCCTCTTATTCCTGACTCTAGAATTCTGTCTGCTCATAAGTGCCTTTAATACATAGGTAACCCCTTTCTAGGACATCTGGGAATTTCTGGATATCCTGATACTATATAAAAGCTATAAGAAGCCAGGAGTACAATTACATGAACATCTTTCTTGCCATTTCTCAACATTTTGTTGTGATTCACCACGTTGTAGGGTTCTCCTTGAGACTTGAAACACTATCCCAGTCTACGTCTGGAAAGCATGCCATTAGCTTGTCCCTCCCACCATCCCTATCTTCTACATTCTTCAATGGTCTTATACCTGTCTGGATACATCTAACAAGCTAAAACAGATTTAAGGGTACAGACGTAGTAGGGATTGTATGTGGGGAAATGTATGTCACATGTAAGAAATAAATCCCAGTTTCTTTGGATATCTAGTGGCTAGTATGATAAATTTTGGACCTCACAATACGTAAGGGCTCACCAGGGATTTCTAAGAGTAGGTGAGTAATCTGTATATGTGCCATCGACCCTCTACAACTCCTAAAGTAACAGGCAAAGTCCTGCTGAGTCCAAATCCTGAGCCTGTAAGTCCAAGTGAATACAGAACTGACGAAGGAAAGTTAACTATGACTCTGGGCAGAGAACATTGTGGGAGATCTGGTTGCAACACAAGCCTATGCTTCCTACGCTCTTCTAACCAAGAGTTTATAAACACCTCCTTCCATGCAGGCAAGCCTTCCCACAAGCTTATCCCCCAATGGAAGAAACTTCCGCCTGCTTAGCTGGTAGAATTCCAGAGTGATAATATGGTAGGTGCATAGAGTCAATGCCTAGAAGCAAACCTCTTGGGAAAATCAGTGACGATCCCTAGTGGCATAAAATGAGAACTTCACCCAGTACCCAGGTTTACACAGAGCCTAGGAGTTTAATGATAAAGTGACTGAAGACAGGTAGATAGGGTAGATCCCAACCTTGTGGGGCTGCAGTTTATACACATCTGGAAGATCTCTTTAGGAAAAGGAATGCAGAAAAATCATACCTTTATAGCTTTCATAATAACATTCAATGATTTGACCACATTATGAGGACCTCTCCTAAGGTATTGAAAGTGAAAGCCCCTCCCAGGACTTGTATCAGTAAGGGGACTTGAAGCGTAAGCTTCATAAGCTGGATGGTAGATCTTCCTCTGACAGATACCTGCATCCCCTATTCTTGGGGAGGGGTACACCTAGGTCAGAGTACTTGTGCTTGACCACTGAAGACAAAGGCATGGCTGCAGGTTAGCAGTGGGGGATGTTATTGCATGCCAGAAGACCAGGAAAGTTCAGTAGTACCTCAAGAGATGCATATGTAGAGCAGAGAAGTTGACCCACTCTGTAGCAGAGGCTGTGAAGACAAGATGATAACACGAGGATGGAGGCCAGGACAGCCCCTTGGTATTCAGACCCCAACTTGAAAGGAGCAGATGGATAGAGAAAATTTGGAGAGCTGAGCATTTACCCAAGTGCCCAAACTGAGTAACCCTAAGGAAATGATTTAAGCCAGCAGAGATTTCTCTGATGGGACAGTTGAGCTTATTTTTTATCTCTGATAAAAACTAGAAAGTGAGGGACACAAAGAGGGGATGATGGCTCATGAGGATGATTTGCTCAGTCACAGGAAATAAAGACAGATTATGTACTTGCACATCTGCCCTTGTTAGGGTGAACCTGTGACTTTACCATGGACATCTAACTCACAGCTCCACTGCTCAGAATATCCAAGAATATCTACTCTTTTTCTTAAGAAAACATCCACAGTCCTTCCTTTGACTTCCAAAGCTCTCCACGTCTAGCACCTGTCTAGCCCTCGGCTACACCTCCAGCAGCTTGTCCTTCCTGGCTCCTTCCACTCCAGACCAATTGGACCTGTTTCCTCTTTTCAAATGCACCAAACTCTCACCAACAGTTTCCATAGCCTGAACACTCTTTTTCCTCTGTCTTTTCATTGACTATCTTCGTCCTTAATCTCTCATCTATAAGGTCACTTGCTTAAGTAGGTCTTCCCAGATCTTTTTATATTAGATCAAATTCTTTTGTTGAATTTATTAATCATCACAATAACAAAACAGAGATTCAAATTCCTTCCAATTCTAAGAGTTTGGTAGTACAGGAAAAAGGGTCTCTAGGCACGTAGGAGGGTTCAGGATGTGGGGTTGATGGGACTTCCTGAGGCCTGGCTCGCCAGGCCCTGATCAGATTATTTATGGATGTGGATTTGGTAATTGCATTCCTCCATCTCAAACAACTGTTATTCATACCTGTGGTGCCATTGCTTAAGAACTGAATAGGAGGGTCTCCAATCTCTATTTCAATTATGAATCCCATGGATCTCTTCCTTCTCAGACTCTTCCCTCTTATCATTTTGCTGATACGGATTTTGTCACTTGGTATCTTTAGGAACAAGGCAAGATTTCTAACCAGATTGTGAGAGGTATAAAAGTCATCTTCTGTTGCAGCAGGTAATTGGAAAGAAACAAATATCACTGTGGCAGTGTGAATTTCAACAGGTATAGTTCCTTTAACCAAAAGATAAAGCAGCTGGTAGGTTCTATCAAAGTAGTTTTCACCAAGGACAGTGGAATCCAGGTTAGGAAGAAATTGGTCTATGAAGGAAAAAAGCCAGAACAGCACAGCTAAGTATTATATATTATCACAATCAACATGCATTACTTAATGTTTATTTGGATTTAGAAAATCCCCCCAAAATTCAACTTTATCATTCTTTCACAAGAAAGCATGCCTTTTAAAAACAAAAACACTTATAGAACTGACTTGTGAAATTACAGCCACTCCTTTAAAAAATACCACAAATAATCATTACACATTGTTTGTTTTAAAAAATAATTAGCTATATAGACACAGTATAAATGAGAAACAAATTGAGTTATGATCCCAGGAGCCTATACTGTACTTGAAACACTATTCACATGCTCATGATTTTAAAGACTTGACTGAAGGCATTTGGTAATTTAAAAATATAAATTTAACTTTACTAGTTATCTAATTTATGCAGTGCTATATGCCAGCTCTTAAAAGAGCATTTACAATTCAGTGTTTCTATTTTAACTAAGGACAAAACTGTGTAATATAAATGAAGTATATGTTAAAACATCTCAGAAGAACCTTATACCAACTAAACAGACTTACATTTCAGCCTGAAAAAGTTTGGTGAATGCAAAACAAACTCTGCTAGGGAACTGAATTTTACAAAAGTGATTGAGATCATTATAATGAATGAATAAATATGTATTATTTTATGGCAGAGTATCAACAATGTCTAAGAGCTAATAAACCCACTAACACATGTTGAGCCCAGACAAACACTGAATTGTGTAATAGTGGTGGTATGAGATATGTAGCTTCTTACATTTCATTGTGAGGCTTACTGGGAAAAAGAAATTAAAATTTTAGGAAGAAGAAGGAATTTCACAGTAATGAAAGAAGCAGAGACAAAGATAATAAAACATTTGGGTAACCCCCAAAGTATGTATAGGTTCATAACACAAGGATATTATTTTGCATTCCAAGTGCCAAAGCAAAACGCTCACTTAAAAGCAATGCTGTTTCAGAAAAACACCACTACCACTACCATAAAACACACATTTATCTGTAAGAGGGCAGTGGTGGAATTGTTTTCCAGCTCTTCAGCACCTACATTATCAATTCTTTACATTATATTCTGTCTATGGAGAACAAAATAATATCCCTGTGTTATGGATCTATACATATTTTGGGGTTTTGGAAATGTTTTATTAATTTATGTCTCTGCTTTTTTCATTACTGTGAAATTCCATCCTCTTTCTAAAATTTTAATTTCTTTTTCCTAATAAGCCTCACAATGAAATGTGGTAAGAAGCTAAATGTTTTATTCCACTATTAATTATACAATTCAGCATTTGTCTGGGCTCAATATATGTTAGTGGAACTCTCTGCCTAAGAAGATAGTTCCTATTTTCCTGACTGAATGATATTGCGCTTGGTACCATATGTGTTATTTGAAAAGAGTGAAAATTTTATTAAAATTAAGCTATAAATGCCATTTCATTCATGACACAACTATTTATATATAAAAAGTAGTAATGCTGACTCTCTTAATTTAAAAGAAGGCAATATAGCATAATGGTTAAGTGCATGGGTTTTAGAGCTAGACTGTTTTTGAGTCCTTGTTGTGCACCATACTAGCTTAAGACTGCTATGGACTGAATTGTGCTCCCATATTTCACATGTTGAAGCCCCAGCCTTCAAGGTGATAATATTTGGAGATGAGAGCCTTTGGGAGGAAAGCGGGTTTAGATGAGATTGTGAAGGGGGAGACCTCATGATGGAATTAGTGCCCTTCTAAAAGGAGACACCAAAGAGCTTGCTCGCATCACAGTCTCTCAGTCATGTCAGGACACAGCAAGAAAGTGGCCATCTGCAAGCCAAGCAAAGAGCCCTCAGCAGAACATGACCATCATGGCACCCTGATCTCAGACTTTCAGACATCCAGAGAAAATAAATTTCTGTCGTTTGAGCCACTCAATCTGTGGTATTTTGTTATGGCAGACTGAACTAAGACTACTGTCTTGGCAAATTACTTCCTGTGTCTCAATTAGCCATCTGTGCCTACCTCAAAGAGTTACTATGATGTAGTAACAATGAGTTAGGCATAAAGCATGTAGAGCTGTGCCTGAAATATATTAATGTCTCTGGAAACATTAGCAATTCATGTTATTAATAGGAATATGACTTCTTCTATAAAAGCAAACAGATTACCCATTCATATTTTCAAGTCTAGCTCATATTATGATCTACCACACACATCTATATAATGGTTAGCTAAGATTATGGATCACATCAAAAGATGAGGATGAATAGCCCATGTGGAATGGAATGTATGCTATTGGCCTCATTAGAATCCTGTTTAACAAAAAGACTTACATAAGCAGATATAAATCCTGGTTTTACAAATATTGGTCAATGAATAAGTTTAGCCTCTTCCATATGTTTCATTTAACGAAAGTTTATTTTATCATATTTACTTCAAAACCTTTAGTTGATGTTATATTAGCTTTCTTGGCAATAATTCTTATGACTGCCAATTAATTTAGGCTCTAACCTCTATGAAATAGAAGTAAAGCCAAGATAAGGTGAAAATTTTAAGCAAAATCTCTTCTGAACATAGGAAGGACTGAATTCAATGTATGCGAAATGAAAACATTCTTAGGAAGCAAAAGAATGCCCATGATAAAAACTCATACCTGCATGTGCACAGATAAATAAGTTTCATTAGGAGTGATCTTTCAAGACACTCATGTTACAAATGAACACATCGTAGTATTTGGTGGACTGTGGCTAAAAACTTGTTTTCTTCTGCATTATCAATAGATAAAGAATTAAAAACACTAATAATCAGACATTTAAAATGTTACAAATAAGTACATATTCCATATGTACTGTATTTTTTGAGAAAATACCTTTGTACAGATGGTTATTAGGTTCACAGTGTTTCTGCTGGGCATTCCATATTGTATTTTTTGGACAGACCAATGAGTTGTTCACATAGACATCCAAACGTTGAAGTGTGGAAAAGAAAATTCCTACTACAACAGCCTATTAAAGAAAAAAAAGTTTTGTCTTAAGAAAGCAATAAAACAGAATATTTGTAATTTAGCACTTAAATCATGCTTCAATATTGTATACTTTCTGCAAACTATTAGAAGTAAGTTTTGGCCGGGCGCAGTGGCTCCCAGCACTTTGGGAGGCCGAGGTGCGCGGATCACAAAGTCAGGAGATTGAGACCATCCTGGCTAACACGGTGAAACCCCGTCTCTACTAAAAATACAAAAAATTAGCCGGGTGAGGTGGCGGGCGCCTGTAGTCCCAGCTACTCCGGAGGCTGAGGCGGGAGAATGGCGTGAACCCGGGAGGCAGAGCTTGCAGTGAGCCGAGATCGCGCCACTGCACTCCAGCCTGGGTGACAGAGCGAGACTCCGTCTGAAAAAACAAAACAAAACAAACAAAAACCTAACTTTTATGGATTTGGGATAAGTGATGAACTAAAATTTTAAAATGGGCTTACATTCAACCTTTCATACAGATAGTACAACTTAACCCTTAATTGACCATTCTCAATAGAAAAGTACAAAAAGATAAATTATTAGATGACTATCTCTAAGTTTAAAAAAAGGGTCATTTAAAAGACAACAAAGGACAATACAGACTTTCAATATCAGGAGCAGGGAAAGGGGGACTTAGCTGTACTCTGTATAATGCAGCCACACAAAATTAGGTACTTCATGTTGGAAAAAAAAATGCTCATCTCTGAGAAAAATTTGGTAGAAAGACCAATAAATGTCAAAATAACTATCCTCTCTGATTCAATTTTATTCATCTTTCATGTTTATATTGCTTACATTTCATGCTATCAGCTATGATCATAAAGAGACTGGCTTTTCCAAGAGCAGGGAAGGATTAATATGGATTTTAATAAGCTATACATAGTTCTGGAATCTTCTTTTGATATTGTCTTCAGAGGCTCAGAATATTAACAGTCACATTACTTTGTAGTCACCATTCTCATTTTTAGAGTTAAAATATTCTCTTCTGATTTTTTTAAAAAGAAAATTTTGAGTTCCTATTTCAGCCATGCGGTATTCTAAGTGCTGGCAAGAGCCACTGGCTTCTTTGAGCTTATATTCAAGAGTGATGAGAGACAAAAAATAGAAGTAATAAAAGGTAAAGTAGGAAACATGGTAGATAGTGATGAATCCTGTGGAGAAAAGAAAAATGTAAATCAGGGTGCGTGTAACTTGGGAGAGCCAAGGAAGAAGGCATGATCTTGGAGGCCTATTGAGAAAGTGGAATCTGAGGCGACAGGAACTTTAGCCGCTTAAGGTAGAGTGTTTTAGGCTAACGCAACATGAGAAACATAGGCCTAGGGGATAGCATGTTTGGTGTCCCTAGGAACAACAAGGAGCTCAGTGGGGCTGGAGGAGTAGAAGAAGCCAGAGAGCTCAGGGATGAGAGAGATTCCCATAGGGCCTCACAGGTCATGGTGAGGATTCTAACTCTTGGACAGAGACCAATAGGGAAATTGTTACAGGGTTTGAGGCATGGGAGAGACGTGATCTGACATATTTTCAAGGTATCTGGCTACTAAGTTGGGGACAGACTATAGAAGGGCAAAGGTGGAAGTAGAAAGAGGAATTGGGAGGCAATTACCATGATGCAGGAAAGGCTCAAACTGGATAGTAGCAGTGGAGGTGGTGAGAAGTGGACAGATTCTGGTATTTTGAAGACAGACTCAAAACAACTTGCAGATGGATTGGATGAGGAATGTGAGCAAAAGAGAGGAGTCAAGAGTGCTTCCAAGGTTTTATCTGGTGCGAAGGGATGGAACTGCTGTCTCCTGGGAAGGGGCAGGTGCCTCCTTCCCTTATTCCTTTCTCTGCTTCACCTTATCAGCATTCTTTCTTCACATTAAACACCCTGGGACTTTAAAGTCTCATATTCTTAGAAAAGAAAATCTGAATTATGACACTACTGGTTAAACTCATACTCTTTTCATACTAATTAAATATAAATTTAATGATCCTGTCCGAGTTCAGTTTCTAGCAAAGACTTGACATTATTGAAGATATTAAAAATAACATGCTGCAGTCTCTGAAGTAAATTCCAAAGGTGTGTTTCTGACATATATAAGTAATAGCAGCATTGGAGAATAAGTATATAATTCCAAGTGATCAGTTTTGAAGGTACATTATTTTTATGTAAAAATTTAGGTTTGCTTGTTAATCATGCAAATCATAGGCATCACTGTCATGCCTCATGTATGGAGCACCAAATCAAGTGCATATGGCAAGGGGATGATGGTGATGCTTAGTACTTGTACCTTCAGGCTAATGAAAACTGTCTAGACTAATAATAATTTCAGTGGTACCCTGATGCATTCTTGAAAATGGGCTGTAAGGCTGACAATGCTAGAACAAGGGAGGAGATACAAGTCTTAGCAGATAGAAATAACATGCAAATAATCAACAGCAATTACCCTTAAGACATCTTGCCCTACCTTATTATGGTCAACATTAAGCAACATCAGTCGAAGATTCTGAGGACTGGTGCCCGTGAAGTAAACTTCATAAGATGTGTTCAGAGCCACAATGCTGTGAAACAGGGACAGCCTTCTCTGGCATGCATATCCAGCACACCAGCCATGATCCTGTGGGCCTAAATCCATGCAAAATGAAAGTGCATATTCCTATATAATGCATTTTATTAGTATAAAATCTGAAGAGTAATTGTATTTAAAATAAATTGCCACGGTCAAGTTCAAATGCAAGTTCAGCATTTATACCTATTACCCATCCACCGTTACCCAGCCAGCTAAGCTATTTCTCAAACCTTGGCTTAAAAAGGAAGGCAGAGAAGAAACTTCTTCCTATCACCCTTACTTTTACACTGCCCAGGGTAAGAAGGGTGTATTGAACACTGCCCAGGGTAATAAGAATTTGTATTGGAAAGTCACTGAGAGAAATAGAAGATTTGCATATATCTCTACTTTAATGACAATATTCAAGCCTAGGCCACATGGTGAGGAAGAAAATGCTTGATCCTTTCTCCTCCCTACCAAATAAAAGCTTGAGTGGGAATTGAACTTTCTCAGGCTCTTTGTTAGGAAATGTGCTATAACAGAGTTAGTTTGTTACCAATAGGCTCTGTACCTGGAAAACAGGGACGTCTGAATGCCTGAACCATTGATTCGTTAATTTGTTCTTTCACTCATGCACTTGTTTTTTAAAAACAGTTAATTTATAAATTCAGCAAACACATTCATCTAATCAAGTCATTAATCTTCCTCCATTTTAATTTTAATTTAAGAAATTTTTGTTGACAATTGTTACTACAGGTACCATTAGAGTGTTGACATCATTAGTTAACTGAAGCCACCTAAGAAATAACACTCTATCAAACCCTCTAGAAAGCCAAGAAATAGTGAATCCAAACATTTTCTGAGTAGGTTTAAAATGACTTTCATAACAAACTTCTGTATTTCACTTAGTTTTAAAGTGGCTGAGATTATACATATATAAAACATTGAGTGAAATATGGAATGAATTTTATTGATGTATTTATTCATTAGGTTTTCTTTATTTCCTAGCTTACTTGGAAGTATTATCAATATTTATAACTACACTTCAATCAAATTTTAAATCAATATAAACTTCTAAAGCTCCTGTAGAGCCTAAACTTTTCCTTAGCATACAAAATATAAATCCTACTTTTAAATATACTTTCTTTGTGAGTTTTGAAAACATAAAGAAATATCTATGTATAACATAAAAATTTAAAGTGGCAAAAGTCATATTTTTAAAATAAATAAAATTTAATATTAATATTCAAAAGGAAACTTGAGTGATTTTCTGTAACTTTTATCTTGGGGAATTTTTTTTCCCCATCTAGTATAGCACATCCCAAGCTTCAGTGATTCTTCTAACACCTTCATGATTTTTCTGCGCTGCTATCATATACATAAGACTTCTTTAAATTGATAGTCACTTTTTAAAATTTAAATTCGTATTGAAGAAATATGTCTTGTCATTATTGTAAATGGAAAACTTGTATTGCTTGCCAGAAAAGGGAAATGTAAAAATAAGACAGTGAAATCTTTTTCCACCATATAAAACAGAGCTATTTGGAAATATCTCTTCTATTACTCCATTATTCATTGACAGTTCTAAAGTTGTTCTCATGATCTCTGCTTCATAAAATCCGAAAAGCAGCATCTAAAATTGGGTTGACTGCAGGTCACAGAAACCAGGCATAGCACACATTGGGGTGGGAGAAGTGAGGAAAGCCCTAGAATCATGAAACTTTGGAATACTTCTGATTTAGTTCATTCTGTTCTTATAAACAAGTTTTTAAAGCATTCATATTTTATTGATTTTTAGAATATTTTAGTACATGTTGTGACACCACAAGGGCACAGAAATCTATCTAATCCAAACTATATACACTTTCAGCACATAAAAGATCCTAATCTAAGCCTGTTTAGGGACTAAGTTTTGAGTCCCTGGTGTCATTTCAAGAATATATGATGAATCCTTGTCTGTGTTTTCACTACCTTAAGAAATTCATCTTACTCATTCAAAAAACCTTGGTCTCCTGAGCATAGAGACCATTACCTTCCTTCTCTGCTACAGCCTCCTAAGACCAGAATGGAAGAAACCTGATGCTACAGCTTGACCAACTGGTCTTGACAATGAAAGGAATTAGAGATATACACTAGGCAAATTGTATTTTTTGGAGATACTTGGACCATTTTTTTCCTTCAAAATACTTATACCACTTTATCAATAAAGTATGAAGATCACTCCAGAAATAACTTTCCCCCTTCTTCTTGCTCTCCTCTCCATCCCTCTTCCCCTCCTTCTTCTTTTTATTTTAATGGCCAATTTTAAATAATTGTCCTCGCTTTCCTGGATGAGGTACTGCAAGATCAAGTCTCTTCCCTGCGCATTGCTCATTCTTACAAATGGAAGGCAAACAAGGCCTTATGTTTGCTGGTTGTGTGGGGTAAATAATTTATGAGATGGCTTCATGCATTTAATAACAAACAAATGTTTTGAGTAACCCTAGTTTATGCATATTGAATACCTACCATTAATGAGATCAACATAACCATTGCCCATTATAGCCACTGGGGAAAGTCTTCGAGTTTCTGTGTCAGGATCCAGACTTTCAATAACCATCATCGCATATTCCATCCCAAAGCACTGATAGCTCTGCCACTCTGGAACGTACTTACAGGTTGAATCTCTAATAATTCCTAGAAACATATTATATATATTTTAGCAATAATAAAGAATCTCTTTGTAAGAAAATCCTCGTAACATCTTTTTCTTGTTATGCCAGTTTAAGAAGCAGAAAATATAAGTTATTGGTTGAGTAGATAAGTCATTAAAAATAAAACATATATTTTGTTTCATGGGTTTAAGGCCTAACAACAGAATAAGATCCAACAAACCTTTATGAGGTGCTTTCTCTGTGACAGGAATTCTACTTCCATTTAAGAATGTGAGCATCGCCTTAGGAATTCTGTAGTCTCCAATTCCTACTTGGCTGTTTCCATCCCATTCATATTCTGCTTGAGGTATCACAGAACCAGCACTCCCCAGAAAGGAGCCATCTATGTCTCTAAGAAAAGATTTCTTCTTGGCATCACAAACCATGTCTATACAATCAGATGGATTGACTTTACTGTGGAGAAAAGTTGAATTATTCAGTTCATTGTTTCTAGAGAGCAATATGAATATACTTGAATATTTGCTAACAGGGTATCCGAAAAAATTAATGTATTAAATCTTATTTCAGAGAGGTTTCAAAGTGGGACCAAGTAGCCTATGTAATTAGCATTGGAATGAGGTCTGCTTTTCCATTGTGTTGATTTGGTCTATGATTATGAATTCATTAACATTTCAAAACAACAAATCATACCTGTGGGATATAAAAATCAGAATTCCACTTTTCTATTCTATATATTGTTGAATGATAGATTTCTTATTTGTGCATTGTTCACAATATACTAACATTTCTCCAGAGAGTAGGTGGATGATTACTGTTTTACAAGACATATAAAATCCCTGTGTTGGCAGGGAAGTCTTTATTATTATTTCCTTTCCTTCTTGTCTTTAAAAATTATGAAAGTATTGCTTACTATAAAATAATCTAAAGATTTATTAAAAGCTCAATCCCTATCACCTTCCCATCTAAGCTTTTAGGCTCATCACCAATTGCAGATTAGTATATATTCTTGTAGACCTTTGTTTATGGATATATGGATATATTTGGATTGTGTTTATTATGCTACATATTTTAGTAACCATTCTATAGATAACAATAAGAGGTAAGATAAACTCATCATGCAATTCAAACGTAGATGGTATTTTGCCTCATCTTGAGTTATCTGGAGTGTTGATTGATTGTTACCTGATTATAATCATAAAACAGCAGCTTAACGTGTAAGGTACTATACATTCAAATGGTATACATACAATATACTCATAGAATACCATGATATATACCATGGGCAGAGTTATAGTAACAGAATAATAGTGAACAGCTCAGATCTATTGAATAGTATCTAGAATAGCTCTCCCTTTTTGCTATGAGAAACACGTGAAGTTTTTAATACAAGTTATTCCTTACATAATATACAAGTTTTAGAGAAGGATTTTAATAAATATTTTTGTAGTTCATGTGTTCTTTGTATTCCAGTATGTGCAATGTGTTTTTGTAAGCAAGTCTGTGAGTAGAGTGCCCAGTGGCAGTCTTTTATGTTGTGGCTTTGGGCTCTTAGTTTAGGTTCCCAAGAAATAAAGCCTGAGGTGTGGGTTTTTGTTCAAGTAAATTGCCAAAAGAATCCTCTCAAAAGGGGGAGAAGAGAAGTGGTTTATCCAATAGCTTTAATCTGATGCCATGAAAACCTCTGGCACATAAACTGCACAGCAGAGTTGTTGCCACCTTAAGACAAAGCAGCCAGCCTTGTACTCCTGAATTAGTCAGTCGTTTTACAGGGACTGCAGGGTGGTGGGAGGGAGCGCTTTGGATTCCTGTGGCTAGTTCTATTTGGCTAAGAGCAAAGTTCTGAAAAGCCATAGATTGTTATTGGCCAACACTGAGAACATCTGGGGGTTGGGTACACTGCCCAGTAAAGATCTGAGAGAGCACTGACAGCGTCGCCTACCAGCACAGAACTCAGAAAAATCACATTTGAAAATGTGGTATTTTCTTCAGGACTTAGATTCTAAAATTATATGTTGAAACTGAAAGATTCAGTGACAAGTAAATAAGAGATAATAACTGCCTACTGAGGAGGGGCTCTATGGACCCCCCAAACACTGAAGTTCAACAATAATTAAATAAATAAGTGTTGGGTTGTCAGCAAAGCAAAATCAGATGAAGTCAAACAATTTATGAAATATTACATTTATCTGAAGAGGTGCCTACTTCCTTTTTTTGATACAGGGTCTCACTCTGTTGCCCAAGCTGGAGTGCAGTGGTGTGATCACAGCTGAGTGCAGCCTCAACCTCCTGGGCTCAAGCAATCCTCCTGCCTCAGCCTCCTGAGTAGCTAGGACCACAGGTGCACACTACCACACCCAGCTAATTTTTATTTTTTAAATTTTATAGAGGTGAGAGCTCCTATGTTGCCCAGGCTGGTATCAAACTCCTGGGCTCAAACAGTCTTTCTGCCTCAGCCTCCCAGAATTCTGAGAATATAGGCACTAGCCACCATGACTGGCTGAGATGTCTATTTAAATACAGAACATAATTTCTTTTCTCTTCCCCTAAGCTGAAAATGGTCAAAGATCAGTAATAAATTTTTTTCTTCCTCCAGTATTGCCTTATATCTAAATTCCTGGTCTGTACTTCTTATAAAAAGTAGGAATTATTAGATATATTATTCTATGACTTAGAATCTAAATGATCACTTCTGGAAATGTCCTGACACCAACTGACCTTTGTGATCAGAAAATCACTGTTCTAAGTTTATGTGTATTTATAATCACAGTGATTATAATGGCTGACATTTAATTTCCAAGCACATTTTGGGGTGCCTGTGATAGGATATTTTGGAAGCAATAGGTAATCAAAAAGGGTAAGAAAAAGGGAAGAAATAATAAGAGATATCTCTTGTCCATTAATGACTGTTAACTTGAGAAACAAACAAAAACAATGTGTGTGTGGCTCTTGCCTGTAATCCCAGTGCTTTGGGAGGCCAAAGTAGAAGGAACCTTTGAGGCCAGGAGTTTAAGACCATCCTAGGAAACATAGAAAGACCCTGTTTCTACAAAAAAAAAACAAAGAAACAAACAAAAACTTAATTAAATAAGCCAGGCATAGTGGCATGTGCTTGTAGTCTAAGCTGCTTGGAAGGCTGAGGTGGAAGTATTGCTTGAACTCAAGAGTTTGAGTCTGCAGTGAGCCATGATAGCATCACTGCACTCCAGCCTGAGTGGCAGAGGTATTTTCCAGGATGTCCTCAAACTCCTTGGCTCAAGCAATCTTCCTGCTTCAAACTCCTGAATAGCTGGAACTACAGGTGCATTATGCCTGCTCTTAAATGGAAAGATATTAAAGTAGAACACACTTCAGACCCCATCTATAGTTTTCGTATTTAACAATGATGATGTTATTGATGATTCACACACACACGCAAAGCAATGGGAGAAAACATATATGTTAAAGCCCAGTTTTAAAACTCAACTGAGAACATTTAGATTTACATTAAATGGTCTTAATTTTCATAATGCTTATTAAAGTTTCATAAAAACTGGTAGTTATTTTAATATGCCAACTTAGATCTTGAGCAGGAGGAAGTGAGAATGAAAAACTATAAAGATAGAAAAACCACAATTTTTATGTATTTTTACCTTATATCAGGCCTATGTATATATATTTTTGATTGTTCAGTAGTGTCAACCAGTTTTATATTCTTCACATGGATTGGATGCTGTAAATCTTCATTTAAAGGGTTAGTAATGAATATAACATTAGTTTCCCCTGAACAAACATTCTTAAATCCAACAAATGTGGAACCTAAAACATAAATAATAGATAAGTGATTATTTTCTCTAAAGAAAGTGATAAAATCAGATTTATTTAATGCACATTAGCCAAACACATCTTTTGTCACTACCTTAAACATGGCGCTCTTGCCTGATATGATAAATAAGTCTACCACTATTTGTGGGAGCCTGTTTCCTACCAATATTCATATCACTAGGTAATGATCACCCATATTTTCTCTGGGCTTGGCCATGTAACTTGGTTTGGCCAATGGGACAATAGCAATCACGGCATAAACAGATCTGGAGAGTGCTTGCATATTGGAGCTTGCTCTTTCTTAGTGTTCCAGGGAATTCTGTGACTTCCAGCATATGAGTAAGCCTGGGATACATGTGGCTCTATCACTTCTGTCACCCCAGCTAATGGCCAGCACCAACTGTCAGCAAGCACCAACCACCAGACATGGAAGTAAGGCTATCCTAGACTAACCAGCCCATAGCCATCCTATAAACTGACGGCACCTAATGGACAAGACCAGGTGAGACCAGCAGAAAAACCATCCAGCTGAACAAAGCCCAAATTGACAATACCCAGAATCATGAGCTAAATGGTTGTTTAAAGTCTCTAAATTTGGGGGGTTATCCAGCTAAGATAAATGAACCACTATTTGTCCCTTGGCTTCTTTGTATATATTACATGGCTAAAAGATAAAATTGATTGGATCCAAAAACTTAATCTCCATTGTACTTAAAATCCAATAACTCTAAACAGAAAAGCAAAAGGTGACCTCTAAAATTCTTAAATCAGTTATGTTTTATCTATGCCTCTTCTTAATTATATTTCCTCCTAAGAAGAGTCTATATACAGGAATACAAACCTGTAGATGAGTATTAATAAAATATCACAGTAGCAGATGCTGTTTGTGCCCTGCCCAGATCTCCTTTACTGGGTCAGTGCACCCAACACCTAGTTTCTCCTATAAGTATTGGCTGCAAACCACTCGTAGCTGCAGTCTTCTGTTTTTGTTTTTTGAAATAGAGTCTCACTCTGTCGCCCAGGCTGGAGTCCAGTGGTGTGATCGCGGCTCATTGCAACCTTCACCTCCTGGGTTCAGGCGATTCTGCCTCAGCCTCCCAAGTAGCTGGGATTACAGGTGCCTGCCACCATGCCTGGTTAATTTTTGTATTTTTTCAGTAGAGAGGGTTCCACCATGTTGGCCAGGCTGGCCTCAAACTCCTGACCTCAAGTGATCCACTCACCTTGGCCTCCCAAAGTGCTGGAATTACAGGTGTGAGCCACTACACTTGGCCAGCTGCTGTCTTCTCTAAAGAATTGCCCTTAGCCACTTGATAGTTCCCTCAACTGAGAGATCATGTACTCCCTTCCATTACCACAAGTAGTTATGCCTGACTGATAAGACATATGGAAGAACTTTTGCCTCAATGTGGGAAAAGCATTTGGCACAATTTGCACTCTACAGCTCTCTGAAGTATCAGGTAGAAGAAGCTGGACTTCAGTTGAGGTCATATCCTTGCTTAGCTCCTTCCTCTGCCCTATTCTAATACTTCTCTCACTCCCTTTCTCTTCAAAGCATATCTTCAATAATCTACTTGCATAAGAATTCCATTTCTGCTTCTACTTTATTGATGATTTGAAGAAAGAAAATGAAACTATAATGGTCATTCACAAATTCAAAGCAAATCTCAGGATATAAGCGTAAGATTAGCAGAACCTTACAACTTAAGAGATGGTTGGGTTCTGAGCCCCACCAAATCCCCTACATCAAAGGCCCTGACAGAAACAAAGTGGGATGCTAAGTTAGATGGAGATATATGGGAAGAGCTACTTGGACCTTGAAGTCTCAGAATGTGCTGAATGCTCTGTATGTGTATAAATGGTATACTCCTTCTTATTAGAGAGTAACTTCCTGCTCTACTTGCTTAAAATCATCAGGGACCTCAACAGAGCCTTACAAGACAAATCTTATCTTCCACAGGACCTGTTCCAAGGGAATTATACACTAGTATGGCCAGTTTTAATATGTTGTTGGAATGACTTTTAAAAGCTTGGAAATAGTGATGGCACACATTAAGTAGAAATGCCCAAATTTCCATGACATGTTGTGAGAAAAATGCAGGTCAAAGGCTCAAAAATGGGAATATTGAAATGGATGTATTATATAATTCCAATGCATTTCAGCCCAACTCAGAGGTGGCCTTGAATGAGTGTGGGGTGGTGTGGTGTGGGAAGATCTTTCCAATTAAGAGAAATTTGGGTGGTACACAGGATCATCTACTTTTTGTGGAGAGAGAATTTATCAAAAGTAAGGATAAATATGGACTCCTGGGTAGTGATGAGTGGCTTAGCTCGTTGGTAAGGGGCCTGGAAGAAAGTAGACTGGATGTTCAGGAAAAAAACTTGTGGCTATATCTGTCAAAATGGGTACAAAAGGCATGCTATTGCCTACCAATAAGCATTCAATACAGAAGAGTACCTGAAAAAACCAAATGGGCAGGATGATTTGTCCAACAAATGTCAGTTAATCTCTGTCCTCAGCCACCCCAGCCCTTACAAATCAGCTTATGAATTGAGTAGCCTTTTTGGTGGAGATGGAGGCTATGCATGGCTCCAACAGCATGGCCTTCTTCCTTCCAAGGTCAGTGGAGCTACTTCCACTACTTAATGTCTGACCCAAATTGCCCGGCACAGAAATTAAAATGAAGTCTTTAGTATACTACCATTCCTCAGGAAATCAAACATTTACTTAAAGTTGGTGACACTGGATTTATTCCACCCTGGAAAGGGTAACAATTCATGCTGAGTAGTACTGACATGTATTCCTGGTGGGAGTTTTTTTTCTTATAGGGCTTCAGTTAGCACCACCATACTAGGACTCACAAAGTGATCTAATGGCATGAGCTCCTGCATAACATCACCCTAGACCAAAGATCTCATGTTCAACAAAATAGGTACGGGGTGAGCATAAGACAATGGGATCACAATGGAAGAATTGCTGCAATCATACAATACAGCATCTGGAGAATCACTCCAACAGACTGATGGAATAGACTCTTGAAGGCACAGCTGAGCTGTCAGCTTTGGAAATAACAACCTGCAAAACATGTGTTATTAACCTAAAACAAAAGACATTATATGGTGGTAAATATCAAAAATATAGAATACGTGGGTGCTGGTACCAAAGGCAAGAAGTAGGAGTAACTTTTTTCACCATTATCCCTGGAAGTTCACTTGGGAAACTTGTGTTTCCAATACTAAAATTTTAGGTTCTATGAGTCTGGAGGTCTTGGTTCCCAGATGAGACGTGTTTTCAGCAGGACATACAGTAAGTAACTCAAAAAAATAAAGCTATACCTACCTCATGGTTACTGCAGGCTTCTCATCAGACAAAGAAGGTTTTACCATCTGGCAGAAGTAACTGACCCTGATCACCATGCAGAGGTAGGCCTATTCTATAGAATGACGGCAGGATGCACTCACGTGATCCACCAGGGTATATGCCCACTATTAGTTGTAAAATGGCAAGTACAGAAGTCATGGCTTCATAAAGGCACAGAAACCAGGGACTTTTTTTTTTTCAGACAGAGTTTCACTCTGTTGCCCAGGCTGGAGTATAGTGGTGTGATCTCGTCTCACTGTAACCTCGGCCTCCCAGGTTTGAGCGGTTCTCCTGCCTTAGCCTTCCAAGTGGCTGGGATTACAGGCACCCGCCATTATGCCCAGCTAATTTTTTTGTATTTTTAGTAGAGTTGGGGTTTCACCATGTTGGCCAGGCTGGTCTTGAACTCCTGACCTCATGATTCATCTGCCTTGGCCTTCCAAAGTACTGGGATTACAGGCATGAGCCACCATGGACCAGGGGCCTATTTATAACAGGGATAAGGGTCTGAGCCATTCTACCAAGCAAGCCATCTTGACAAGCAGAAGTGTTAGCCAGGGAAGACAGAAATTTAGAAAGGGCAATGGATGAGAGAAATGATGAGTATCATTTATGGTTTAGGGACCAGCTGTGGCAGTGTGACCACCAACCCACTTCTTAAAGTTTTTCCCAGAAATTGTGACCATGCAGAATTTGGGAGAAATCAGTCCTGGTAGAATAACTTAATGTAAGTAATAATGAAAAAAGCAAGTAGATCCCAGGGATCCCAAGAGAGGACTGAAGTGGATAAAGGCTGGTACACCCATCTCTCATCTCTTTGAATAATTGGCTGTTAACAACTGTCCTTTTCCCCAGACAATTAGCTTAGCCAAAAAGGAACCACATACCTGGGAAATTAAGGTCCTCCCCATAGGGGCAGCTGTAACCAAAAACTAACATGGGGATACAAATGACTACCGTCCCCCACCCACCTCGCCAAATGTGAGATCAACTCCGTGGCAATTTTAACTTACATTCCAGAGTTTCCCAGTGGCATCAAGTGAAGCTACCCTACAGCTCATGTCACATCCTTGCTTAGCAACTTCCCTTGCCCTGTTCTCTTTCTTCCCTTTCTACTAGGCATTCCAAGAAGCCACTAATATAAAAGTCCTCATCTAAGTCTGTTTCTAGGGAATCTAAGTCAACTAACTTTCATATATTATTTTAAAAGACTATATCTTATGAAAGAATAATAGTTATTCGTGTTCTTTCCATAAACTTCAATTTTAAGGCTTCATTTCATAAGGGCAGTTTCATTGCCACATGATATTTATAATATTCTGGAGCATATTGTTTATTAAAAGCCATATATGTTCAATTACAACCTATGTAGCATGTTATACAATTTCCTCCAAGGGTATCATCATTGCAATTAACACTTAAAAATGTTGCCCATTTGTTTCACATTTCTGGGATCTAAAGTTGTGAGGAAGAATCTGTGAAAACTTAGATGTCTAACGTATTGAACTACTTTCTTCAAAGAGACACTGGTTAAAATTATCCTGGAAGGGAGACTTGCTCCATTACAACAGGAAATGTACAGTGTTATTTAATAGGCCAAATGAAAATAATTGATGTGTTTACTACATTAATTTCTATATAATTATTTTACATTTCTAAGCAGCCATCCTGGTTCAGTGAAAGAGCAGTGGAGTTTGAATCAGAAGATTTTGATGCTAATCCTAGCTGTGCCAATAGCTGTGGGAATTCGGCCAGGCACTAAAGTTCTATGAGCTTAAGGTTCTTAAATTTTAAAAGGGGATGATAATATATAATCCTACTCACATGAAAAGGCTTTTAAAATTATACAAATTAATTAATATTAAATCACAATACAGTGTTTTGTTGTTGTTGTTTTAGAAGGAAAATTTAACATCAATTCTTCAACATACAGTATAAGAATCCTGCCAAGGAACCATTCTCGAAATTGACTCTAATGTCTGATTTGTCATATTGAGCAGATTGCTATAAAAATTCACTTAAATCATTTTTACTGACAATGAAACATTATTAGTTACCCTCTACATATTCTTTACAGAAACTCATTGAGAAGGTTTATAAAAGATTGTGTACTTGCCTGAGATGTCCAAAAGGCCACTGATGGCATTGTAACTCATGATCCCTGCATGGGGCTTTCGGGGTGCCATGTTATGAGCTGAAGCAAAGGTAGGCCAACAAATCCCACTTCTCCCACCTTTTACCAAAAAAAAAGTTAATGAAAATTGAATATGCACTCATATGAACACCAACATTAAAGTTTCAAATTTTTCACCTGATGGAGATCTAGGACTCCGATGAGCAGCAGTGAGTTCAATATTGGGATCATCATTAGTTAGGACATCAGAGCAATTAAACCCAGGGCTACTTCCAACAATTAATGAGCTCTGTTTGGAAATAAGCCAACCAATATAGCATTAATAATAGCTCTTACTAAAATAAAACATGATAATGAATAATACTGAATTCTACTGTAGTAAATAAAACACAAAGTATAAATTCAAAAAGTGGATCATTCATTAAACAAAGATGAAAAAAGTGTGATTGCAACCCCAACTGGAAAAACACTGAGAATAGGAGAGGGAAGACAGACATGTAAATAATTATATATAAGGACATATTGTGTTTCTGTGATAAACACATCCAGGGAACAGAAGGAACAAAAAAGTGGAGGAAGTGTCATTACCACCTAAACTGGCTCAGAAAAAACTTCATAGAGGGAGTGAAAATTACTATTGCAAGATTAGCAGGTGATAAACAAGAAGAGGGAAGGGAGGAGGAGGGATAAGAATGAACAGTTTTTTAAGCAGAGGGCAGTGGGAACAAAGGCAGGGAGGTGTGGGTGAGACAGATAGAAGTTAAGGAGATTATTCTTATTAGTCCTTCAGTAATTCTACCCTTCTCTGAGTTATTTTTTTCCCCATGGTGTGGCTGTATTAATTTCTTACCTTAATTTGTACTTTTTTACTGGAAATTTTGTGTGATATAGCAGCTGGCATGTAAATCATTGGAAAAATGGCCATTCCATTGTCAACCAGGGTCACATTATAAATGTGCACACTCTCTGTGGTCTGCAACAGAATTTACAGGTTACATAATACTAAGGACAATCATAAAACAAATTAAAAATCACCATCTTTAATCATAATTACCTGAAAATAAATTCCATAATCCCAGCATGTCCAAATGGTAAATCCTTGTATAAGAGAACATCCAGGAAGGCCATCTTGGTTCATATAGATACCATATAAACCCCCATGGGCTTCATTGTCAAACCACTTTTCCACGGGATTAAACTGGCCTTGGAAGGAAATATAGAACCAGAGAATGAACGCTACAGTTCATGTCACATAGTTTTAATAAGCAGTATCGGTTAAAGTTAACAAAATTCTTTTCAAAATTGCATACATAATTCTGATATCAGGTTTAATATGATCAAATATTTTTATGGCTCTGCCATTTATGGTTCACTCTATTTAGTATTTTTCTTTAAATGTTCTCAAGATAGAGTCTCACTATGTTGCTCAAACTGGTCTCAAACTCAAGCCATCTTCCTGCCTTGGCCTCCTGAGTAGCTGGGACTACAGGCATGCCCCACTTCGCCTGGCTTATTCTAATTAGTATTTAATTTTGTCTAACTAGTCTCTTCACTGTTATTTAAAATAACTGTATACTCATTTACAAAATTTAGTGTTAACACCCTTACATTATTTTGTCTGATTAAAGTAAACATTAATTTAATTAGAAAGAGAATGGGTAGATACAAATAAGCTTAAACTTGAAACACAATGGTACAGCTTACTGTCCGTGAAATGCTCCCCCTAAACATCTTTCCATTGCTATGTCCTTTTGGCCATCCCATTTTCAAGTCAAATGTCACTTCCTTAAAAGACCTTCCCTAAATACCTGATTCAAAATAACACCTCAGTCACTTTACATTGCAATTAAAATTCCTTTCACTTGATATTTTTATTATTAATTATTTGTGAATTATCCATCTCTTCTCTCCTAGTAATATGTAAGCTTCATAAGAGAAGACATTGCACCTAGCTCATTCACCATCATTTCTTGGAGCCTAGAAGGTTGTACAGAGATAGGTGGTCTTTAAATATTTTAACAATTGGTGTAGGCATTATCTTGGGAAAATTGTTTTAGGACCTTAGTTTCCTCATATGTAAAAAGTTTTAATGATTAATTCAGAATTGTTTCAAAATAAAATAAAATCACCTACATAAAGTGCGTAGCAAATACTCTCAACAAATGGCAACTATACTCATTATTAATATATAGAACAAAGGGGATTTTAATGAAAGTTTTACTGATGTCCAAATCAGTTCAATAACCTTAATAACTGCCTCCCCAAACAGTCATGAATTGGAGGACTGTCTATAAAGAGCAGCACTGTCTCCTAAATTGTACTTAATACCAGCTCTCCTGTTCAGGTTCCCTGGTATCTGTTTCCTTTTATCTTCTCTTGATTTTCCCTTCTTCCTAATCCTTTGGGTTTTACATTTTATTTATGATCTTCCTGGTTTTGATAATTTTCCTGCATAAGAAGATTTTCACATTTCTCTCCCTTAGAGTCACACAATAATAGATGCATGGACAGATAGGGTTTCACCCCTGAACCCGGTGTATTTCACTATCCCGAGCTTCCCAGACTCTTGTCTGGGGGATGGATTGAATAAATTGATGGACCATTACAGGAACGTAAATGCTTCATTCCTCTGTGATGTTTCATATTTCAGTTGCTATAACTCCAAAATCTCCTTATAAATAGTCTCAATTATTTAGGAATATCCACATAGTCAGTGAAAAATGCATTACATAGCATTATACATACTAGTAAATACTCATATTCAAAGATCACATTTTGATGTTGAAAAATCCATAAGGATAACTTTGTTGAAGTTGTAAAGAAATTAGCTATTTTAAAATTTTAAGTCAAAGAAAAGCCACTTCAAGCGGTTGGGAACTAAAATATTTAACAAGAGCATATATCAAGGAATCAGTTTAGTATGTTGACAAAGTAGTTTTTATTCCTTCAAAATGTATTTTGCACAAGAATAAAACCCGCTTAAGTCTAAAACTGTTTGAATTGACAGAAAAAAAAAATGCTGATTCAAAGAATCTTAAAAATAAACACACTTTTAACTAGTATATTTTTTAAAAAGATGAATTTTATGCTATATAAATCATGCCAAATAAAGCTGTTAAAAAGTAACTATACTGAGTTTTTTTTTTTTTTTTTAAATCAATTCTGGAAGGGGCCTACATTTCTCAGAGAAAGTCCCATTTTCTTTAACTTTCTTTAAATTTCTTGAGGGGTAAAGTCTGCAGATTTATTATGTATTTCACTGTTTTCATCTCATAATAATTTATTTACATGGTTGAAAATATAGAGGTTATTGAAAAAGTACACAATTATAAGTACTGAGTTCCCTTGTTCCCAATTACTTTCTATGATTTTTATACTTTTCTTATGTAAATACAAATACCATATACATTCTGATTCCTTCTATTTCTTCCACAAAACATTTTATATGTATTATACCTAAAATAGTATTTTATAAACTATTTTGCACTCTCCAGTTAGCACTTAAGAATATTCTAGAGAGTTCTTCATATCAATACATTGAACTCTTCTGCCTTCTTTCTTTGAGTAGTCTAGTGTTCCATCGTCTGGCTTTATATAACTATTCTACCATTGGGGGACACAAATGGCTTTCGGTTTTCTGCTAGTACAGACAATGCTGTGATGAATAACCTTGTTCATAAATAATTTTCTAAGTTTGTGAAGGCAACTGTTAGCTAGATTCATAGAAGTGGAAATGCTGAGTCAAAGGTAAATGCATGTGTTATTTTGGTAGATGTTGTCATGTTACCCTAAGCAGAGATGATATTGTTTTGTCCTTCAACCAGCAAGGTGTAAATGTTTTGCTTTCCCTACAGCCTTGTCAAAAGAGTAGATGCTCAGTTAGTTCTTAATTTTTACTAATCTAATATAGAGAAATCTATGTTTGAGAAGTGTCTGTTCATGTTCATTGACTTTTTGATGCATGCAGGTTTAACATATGAATAGTGAACATTTATTCTATCAAAGTAGAAGTTAAAATAATGGTGTATGTCAACATGTATCTCTATAATAAGTGCTGTTTTTGTAAAAATGGTGGTGGAATGAGGTACTTACTGTCCCAATGCCGACCAAATCAACAACTCAAGTTGCTATTGGAGTTTTGGGATCATAAACTTGGGAAAATAAAGTTTTCCTTAGAAACCTATTTATTTTTTTAGATCCAATGTTATCTTGAAATAATTTATCTTGTTGAGTTATTTCAGTGACCAGAAGGAAAAGATATTATATATTGAATTAACAAACAATAATTATTTATTTTAATGATTTTGAACAAGTTATTTCCTAGTTTTAGCGATTCCTGGTTTAAAAGACTTACCTGGGCAAGGTTCACCATCAATGCGGTATCCTGCTCTTCCAAATCCAGCAACTACATTATTCTGTAAAACTGTATTGGTCCCTCTATTTATCTAGTGCAATGATTTAAAAAAAAATACTGTGCATCAGGCTAGTAAACATTTATATAAATTGAGAGTAAGTATATGACAATATACTTATGAAAACCTTTAATTATGACTACATTTTCAGGAGGAAAAATTTAATTTATTATTTACCCCATTCAAACTTAATTACAAGTGATGTATTGAAATTACACTAGGTTCTTAGTGTAAAACCATCATTAAGTACTATAGCCTGGACTTCATTTAAAAACTACATTAAAGAGATTATTTCTTATTTCAGTCACAAAATCCACTGAATGTGGTTTAAAATTTACAAGGCACAGAACAAGTTCCAGTATTATAACAAGGTAACAAGAATGTTAATACTTTGTTCAGGAATTTGTGATCACTGAAAAAGTGATAAATATATATTTATATATTATATTTATATATGTTTAATATAAATATATATTCATATAAAATTATGTGTGTGTATATATATTTTTTGAGACAGGGTCTCGCTATGTTGCCCAGGTAGGTCTCAAACTCCTAAGCTTAAGCAATCCTCTTAACCTCCCAAGTAGCTAGGATTACAGGTGCAAGCTCTTTTTACAGGCTCTTTTTAGTTATGTTTTGTTACCAATTTGATTAATTTATTTTAAAAAAGACAACTGAGGCAATGACAGTGGATCATAAGATTCAGTGGAGACATTGACTAGTTTACATAACGTTTGCTATAATCACAAAGTAGGTTAGCATGAGTGTTAGGTAATTACTAAACAATTTTATTTTATAAGCCAAGTCAAAGTAGAAAAAAATGGAAGCATACAGCACACATATCATTCTTGCCTATGGTGTCAGCAAAACAGTCAAAAGTTGCAATCATATTAAACACATTTATTTTTAAATATTTTGATAAAAATAGAGTCACATGAATTCATAAATGTCAATTAAGTACCCTTTCTTTCAAAAGACACAAATAGCCTTAAAGATTTGGAATTGACATTTAATATGTATAAACAGATAAAAAGAGATTATTTTTTACCTCATAAATGTGTACTAAATTTCAGTTTTCAGATTTTACCTTAAGGTATTAATAGTTGTGCATGCTCATAAGAACCTCCAGCCTTCACTGCACTCCAGCCTGGGCGACAGAGTTAGACTCCATCAAAAAAAAAAAAAAAAAAAAAAAAACTCAATCCTTATCCCATCTTTCAAAAGTAACTATTTTTAATTTCTTTCGATTCTATGTCATAGGTAAAGGCAGGAGGAAGCTATCTCCTCCACTTTCTCTTTTCTTGTTTGTAATCTTACTCTATATCTAAACAAACACAGTAATTGAAGAAACTTCATGGGAAACAAGAAGGTTCCAATGAGTAATATCAGATAAGTATAATAACCTTGCATGTAGAATCATGACCATTTTAGATGAGAAAAGGATTTTAGAGATTTCATTGTCTATTTTCATTTTTAGGGAGGAAACTAAATTCAGAATTAAGTAGTAATATGCCCAAAGCACTCAGTCGAGTATTAGCAGCAAAGAGGCCCTGTACTGGAACTTGAAATAATGTTGGAGAATAAAGGAGGTAAGAGAACTATTTAAACCAATAGACATCAACAGAAAAAAATAGACCAATGGCTACCGAAACTTACATCATCTTTTTAAAAGTGCATTCACTCCTTTAGTTAGCTCATTTTATTATATTTTTTCAATCACTGATATCATTATAAGTTAGTATAATTATAAGTTTATTCTCATTACCTCAATTGCTGCATGCCAGAGAGTTGAACTTAAATCTTTTCTGTTCTGATAGGTTCCTGGCCAAACCGAAAGTGCAATCAAATTCCCTCGGACTTGGTTGGCATTCCCCCATATTCTTATACCTGTTAAAAAAGAAAAAAAGAAAAAAAGAAAACAAGGAAAGAAAATCCCCAAAATACATAAGTCAATTTGAAACGACTATTATGAGTAATGTCTTTTGGTTTTCTATAAAATTATTTTTCTACTTTGAGCCTGACAAATGATCCTCTTCGATTTTTGAAAGATTCCTCTGAACTCTTTGATAATGAACTCTCCCTCTTTAATAGACTACCTGAATTAGAATCTTCTGGGGTGCTTGTTAAATATGTGGGTTCACCGGGTCCATCTCAGATTTTATTTAACAAACCCACAGCTTTTATATAAATTAAATAAGTTTATTATACTTTATACTGACAAAAATCAATATAATATGTCTACAGTTGTATATAAACTTTATTTGTAATAGTATTTGTGATTTATATGTGAGGAGTATTACATTTAAATAATTAGTGATTAGATAACTCATATAAGAATGTGGTCTGGTAAAAATTCTTTCATGTTGTAGGGCTATAGTGTCTAATATGATAGCCATAGCCACATGTGGCTATTTAAATGTATATTAAGTGCAATTAAATTATGTACCATTAAAATTGAAAGTTCATTTCCTCAGTCACAATTCAGCTCCTAGCCATAATTCAAGTGCTCAATAGACACATGTGATTTAGTAATTACTATTATTAGACAGCATAAATATAGACCATTTCCATCCTCACAGAAAGATCAATTGGGCAGTATGGCTCTAGAGTTTACAGATAAGAAAGCCTCCACAGGACATGTAATTTGGACCAAAATATTATTATATTACCTTCTCCCACTGTAAAGTAAATTATGTTGTCATCTATGTCCAATCCATCTGTCCCAAATACACCAATTGCTGGAGAGAAGCCATGGTGAAAAGCACAGCCTCGAACATAGGATGAACCCTGTTCTTGAATCTATAAAACATTGGGATACAGAGAACATTTTAAAAATAAAATTACAATATATTTAAAGAAAAAAATTGAAGTAAATGATTTTCAGTAAATCTTGATCAATCATCAATACTCAATTCACTTTCTCTTAAAGATGATTTCTCCATAAATCTTTAATATATCCATATATAAAATATGCAAATTTCCATGTATCTGAATTTATTATTAGATATATTAAATATATATGCTTTAAATGCAGATTCAAAATTCTTAAGTGCTTTTCTATGCATTTATATTCCTATTATCACTTATAAAATGCTAAGGTGCCAAAAAGTTCTTTTTTAAGAATAGTTCATGATGACAGGGATTTTTTTTTATTACAAAAAATACTTTAGGCAAGGAGTTACTATTCAAATGTCTATAGGAACCATTCAGTGAACAGGTTTGGGGTTTCAATTTAAACCTAAAAGATTATTTATTTATTTCTACTAAGAGATATCCTGTCTCTCATTTTTCTTAAATCACCAGCCCTCTAGGAATATTTATTTTCCCACTGTTGATGGAGGCATAGATCAGACATGCATTTCATTTGAGAAGTTTGAGCAATACTCTCTTTGTTTAATGGAAACCATTTGGAAAAATGTTTTTGGTCATTGCAAAATAAAGTGGATATATAAACCACTATTATAGATCTTCCATTTTTTCACCCTCTATACTACTTTTCCTATGATTTTTACTGGCCTTAAATAAGTACACAATATGGATGGAATCAAATCCTACTTATATAGGTCTAAAAAGTTAATGCCAAGAAAGTTTTATTATATTAGATTATAATTTTAGCTAATATAAGATGTGGCTATTTAGAAGTCACGTGAAAATAAAAATAGTTTACGTATTTTTAATATACACAAAATTAAAAATAAAGCACAAACCTGTCCTAGGTTAAGAAACGTTACAGCATATCTTGGATCTGTGCTATCCCTGAAGCCTTCTTGACCACTGTGATAAAATTCCACATTACTTATTCTTGCATTTCCTAAGGTAGGGAAAGATTTAAAATTTGTTTTTCTTAAAACAGTTGGAATAAAACATTTTTGAAAAGCTACACAAAGTTCAAATTTTTCATGAAAAAATCATTAGTTATTATTTGCTCCTTTAATCCAGAAGTAGTAGTATTTCTCAGACCTCTTTTCATTGTACTCATAAACAGCCCTTTTCAACATTGTTTTTCTTAATAGCCTGCACTCTCCCACAAAATTTTAATAACGCATATATACCATATATCTGTTAGTGTACAGTGGCCTTTTGGAGGACCACAAACCATTGTAATACCTATGTTTTTTGCCCCCACCCCCAGAACTAAGTTTTTCCTCCTGGGGTAGGGGGTGATATTTTCGAATTGAGAATGTATGGCATAAGGCATAAGATATAATTTACCTGACATTTCCCTTTTGATGCCATAAAGAGCTTTTAAGGGCATTATCTTTTATAATCTCTTTCAGAATATGTGTTGCCAATTATCTGCTGGTCAGCTTATCATAAGTACCATCGAGGTGACAAAGGGTTATTTTACAGACTACTAATAACAGCAATAACAATCGATGAGAGATTGCTCTGTGTCAAGTGCTGCACTAAATGCATAACAGACAATATGGGGTTTAATTCTCACAAAGCACCCTGTGAGTTAGGAACTTTTATATCTCTATCATCTAGTTAAAAAAAAAAAACTGAGGCCCAGGAATTCATGGCTGGAAAATAACCAAAGAGAATATTATTTGTTCAAAAAATGATACTTAATAGAATGTGTTGGAGAAGAGTTATTTTGTACTAGAAGAGAAAGCCTACCTTGAAATCCATGAGCCAATTCTTATATACATGGTTGAAAAGATATGAAAAATTGAGATAATGATAGAGACGACATGATTACTATAAACCACCTGGGCTTACAAAAACCACAGATATGTTATCTTTACTCACATCACAAAACAATATATCAGAGCAAGGAAAGACTGTCAGGGTTCTTCACCGAATTTGAAGTGAGAAAGACACAGATTAATATTCAAGATCAAAGCAACTGTACCCCTTTATTCATCTGTTTCTTCATCTTTAAAAGAGGGATAATATTTATGCCATAACATTATGAGGATTAAATGAGATAGTACGTGTTTAATGCCTAGCACAGTGCCCGTGATCTTGTGTCATGATCATCATTACCATCACCATCATTAGCAGCAGCAGCGGCACCATCATCATCAGTTAAACTTCCTCTGGCAGATTATGAACAATAAGTAGAGGCTGTAGTGAGATTGCTGTCTTCTCAATATAAAGATTTTCTAGAATAGATCCGTTGCAAAATGAAATAGGCAGTGTTTTGAACAAGTGAGTACCTGCAGCAACAGTTCAAATCAAGAATGGATGCTCTAGTCCTAGTACCCAGATTGTGGGATCCAAATAACATCTTCCAATAAAAAGAACCAGAATTACTTGGAGGAACAATTGAGTTCCGGTCTTAGAAAAAAATTACAGTATGTGCTTCCCGTATCAGAAAGTAAAGAGGCTTAGAAAACTAACTCATGTCAAGAAGACAGGCATCAACATGAAAAGGTTCTGAAGGTCAATAATGGAGCGTTCTGAGTATTAATCAGATTAACAATCACAATGGATTTGAACAGGTCAAATATGTTTTGACCCAGGAGCACATAATGATACTAACAACAAACCAAAAACTCCCTGTCACCTTTGGAGGATGCTTGGGAACAAACATATTATTTTGAAACCTAGTCAATATGAGGAAAAATCAAGCATTTTTTCCTGTATTTCCTATACGAAGTATTTTTCAGTGCAGTCAAATGGTTGTTTAGAGGAGATCTTCTTCATTATAAATGAGGAGGAAATTTTAAATCTTAATGATTTAATGAATCTAGGCAATGTTAATTAGTAGCTATTAGCATTGTAAGAAGAGAAACAATCATACATTATGTATTTACTGATGGAAAAATACACTACCAACTGTACCTTTTCCTTTTTTTTTTTTTGCAATTGGGTTGTTGCCTAGGCTGATTTCAAACTCCTGGCCTCAAGCAGTCCTCCCAACTTGGTCTCCCAAAGTGCTGGGATTACAGGCCTGAGACACGCTGTCTGGCATAATTCTTGCCTAAAAATTGAGCCTGAAGCCTCTAGTTTTAGATCACCTAGGCATAGGAAATACAGGGAGACGAGAACAAGTTAAATTTCAGGAATGCAATCACTAAATTCCAGAATGTTGGAAACTCCACAGAATTAGAGGACCAACTTCTTTTATAGATAAAATGCAAGGAGAGAGGAATGAATCAGAGATTTAAGATTCATAACCAGTTGAAATGTGGATCTTATTTAGATACTTATTTGAAACAAGAGGATGGATGGAAGGAAGGAAGGAAGGATGGAGGAAGGGAAGAAGGGAGGGAGGGAGGAAGGAAGGGAAGGAGGAAAGGAAGGAGGATCCTGGGGAAATTTGAACTATCATTTGATAAGAAATTATTATTAAGAAATTAACATTTTTAGGTCTGATATTTGTTGATGTTTTCTACAATGTCTTACAGTTACACACTAAAATACTTCTAGATGATATAATGTGTGGTTGCTTCAATACAATCCAGGAGCATGTAGAAAGTGGATGGAGGTGTAGGTGAAACAAGATTGGCCAAAGCTGATCATCGTTGAAGCTGGTGATTAGTACACTGGGATTCATTATATTGTTTTCTCTATTTTTGGTGTATGCTTGAAATTTTCCTTAAACCAAAACAAAAGCAACAAATGATCTGCGGTACTTATTATAAAATTATCTCTGTTAGGTGAAAGACTGGTCTAGCTGTTACCGAAGGTCATTGTTAATTTGATAATTCATTTTGTCTGTGAAGATAAAAGTAAAAGCAGTAATTTAAGAGAATTTACTTGGAAGGTAACACCTGGGCTACATAATCACTTTTTATGTTTTATTTTCCCACATAATCTTATTTAAAAAGTGAGAATTATGTAAGAGCTGACTAAATATAGATGAGATCATGTTATAGCTCATTTAGAAAAATAAACTGAATTTATACTAACCTTTAAATGTCATCATATTTTCAGTGAATGAGCCAACCAGTATGCGTGCTCCAAAAGAGTCCTCGGACCAACCTGGGTAATCTTCACCAATCATTTTGATGTTCCTACTCAGTATCCCAACATCAGCTGCTAACATGTAGCTCTCACCAGTTCCAGGGACATGGTATTTTTCAGCTGCAGCATAAAGGCAGCTAGATTATTGCCAGTGCTGAGAAATATCTGTCTTTACTAGTTCCTTTGTAGTTCATATGCTAAACAGCTTTCTAATAAGCCAAAATTCAACATGAATGCATGAATTATTAGATTTACATGTTTAAACATATACAGATGGCAGTCTGATATTATGATATTCATATTTATAAAATGAAATATAACCAAAAATATTTCCTCTATTTACATCAAAATTATTATTACCATCAGCAAGTATAAAGTTACTACTTAACAAATCTTGAAGGTAGTATATAATCACTTCAAATTACACATGAAAACCCTGTTGTATGGCAAATTGAGAAGTGTATTGTAATTTTAATAGGTGAGGAAATGTAGAGAAGTAAAAGAATTTGTCCAAAGCTAGGAGGAGAATCAACAACGCATGGCAATTAACACTCCTGCCACCTAAACCTTGGTTTGTTCCACTTTCCCTGTGGCATATTTTATATCAACCACAAGATTCTTTATCAATAGGTAGTAGCATGTCCAATACCATCTGTACATTTACATCTTAACAATTTGTAAAACATAACCTAGATTACATGCCACATTTTACAAAATGTTATTCAAAACTTTAAGACAAGCAGGTGCATTTCAAACAGAGAATAATGCTTGATATTTTAAATGAAAGAATCTATAATGTCAAACTTCAAAAACCAACTGTTTTACAACTAATTACAATGAAACATTTTTCAAATAAAACTTTTCTTTAGATTTAAAGAAAATATATGATATAGAATTATAGACACATGCACTTCTATCAAAGTACTGCTTTAAGAAGTTCTTTTCAGTTTCTTTTTCACGCAAGTCAAACGTCTGCTAGTCTATCATGCTGTCTTGCATCTGGAGTTCATGTGAGCATCAGGGGCATCTGAAAGGATTTTCTAACTTTACACTACTGTCTGCTCCCACTTCCTGAGATTTGGATGAAGGTACCATGCCAAATGGGGAAAGGCTGGAGTGCTGGGAAGGCCCTGCTCCTGTAAGTGGAAAACATCTTCAGATCATGGTTATTCCTTCTTTCCTCAACAATTATAGTTTTATCTTTCCATTGTTACTTGTCTAAATGCATTTACCACTAAAGACTATATCCATGAAACAGTTTAGGACAACAAGGCTTTTGGATAAAGGATTCTCAAATTTCAGTGTGAACAAGAATCACCTAGAAGCTTGCTTTAAACAGAAAGTGTTGAACCTTACCCTATAAAATGTCATACACTAGGTCTTTGCTGAATATTTGCTGAATGGATGAAAGCACATAGCGGGGACTATCGGTAACCAACAGAGAAAGAGCAGCGCTCACTGGGTATCATTGCCAATCTGAATAAAATGCTCCTTTAACATATTTGTGACATGTTTTATCAATGAATTATAATTACAGAGAAAATGTGAATCTTTCAATACAATTATATATCTATTTGATTAAAAAGCATCCACTTACCCAAGTGAGTATAGGAAAGGCTATCATTAAGAATGAGAATTTTATGATCATGCAGGATTTTAACGATACTTCTTGTTTCTGTCTGGTGGAAATCATAGCTTGTGGTTGTTATCACAATCTCTTCTCCCTCCTTAGAAAAATTCAAGTGCCAAATTTGAGAACAATTTTAAAAATAGGTTTATATTTCTTGATATCATTATTAAATAATTCAAATTTAATTTATATCTCATTGGCAATTACGGTATTATCAGAAAGAATAAACAGTACATTAAAGTCTCTAAAATATATATGTTTGTGTTTGATATTAAGAATTATAAATTTTGAATTATCTGAGCATTTTCTTAACTTTAACTCAGCCGTTTAGTAAAATCACAGCAATATACCTTTCTAAAAAAGTAAAGACATCAAAGCAAACATACTCACATTTTTATTAAGAACTGATCAGGACAATATTATTAAGAGTTGAATTTTTTTCCCTAGTTTTTTGTTTGTTTGTTTAGTACAATTAACTCTCACTTGTTATTTCTGAAAGGCAGAAAAGCCTGAGGAAAGTTGAAGGGCAAGGCTAAGTCCTAGAACTTTGTATACTGAGCTCCTCCTTATCATCCAAATCTCTTCTCAGATGTACCCTTGACAAAGACCGTCTCTGGAATATTCAATGTTATCTGCCACTCTTTGCCATGGCAGTCTCTATCACACTACTTGTTTTATTTCCTTCATCATGCACATTATCTGAAATTAATAGACATTTATTTGTTCATTTAGTATCTGACTCTCCCACTCCAAAGGAAGTTCTGTTATAGCTTGGACAAATTTCTTCACCACTAAATCCCGAATGCCTAGAAAAACGTGTGACACTTGGTTAAATATTACTTTGATACAAAATTTGCAGACAGTATTAATTGGATAAATAATAAGGATATCAAAATCACTTAATTATTCTCTTTAAAAAGTAATCACACCAGAACTATCGCAAATAAAAACATATTGCAAATAGATCATAATACTTCTCAATAAACCCTCTTTCTATTTACCCATTATAAACTACACTAAGAGAGCAAACCCAAATGTTTTGATGATTTGCATTGATTTGCTCAAACTAAGGCTCCCTTTGTTCTGTGAGTCTAAAGCTTGTTCTCACCAGAAAGGAACTGGCTGAGATCTGAGAGCTTGGAGATGAAATCCATTCATTTCTCTAATTTTTTGGCATTAAAAACTGTATTTTAAAACATGTGGACTCTATGGCTTGTGCATGGTTTATGAGCACAGTAGAGATGAGAATTGCTACCATTTATACTTTATTAAAAGATCTCATTTAACACAGGCAGTATATGGATATCATTGGGTGTCAGAATTTGTTTTCTTTTCAAATTCTTAACATGTAAAATCATAAATTAGAAGTGAAGAGGTAACCAAGATAATAAAATATATTTTAAATAATTCCATTTTCTGTTTTGTAAGAATTTATAATAAATAATTTTATCCAAAAATGTTCATATTCTTCTTTTATGACTAATATACATTACTATAAAATATGACTAATGTATTATATATACATTTTAATGACTAATAGTCATTTTAATTTTATCCAAAAATATTCATATTTTTCTTATATGACATATATTAATATAAAATATGACTAATTTATATGCATTTTTATGACTTATATATTATATATTAGCTTCTATATACATAATATATAAGTCATATATTATATGACTAATCTACAGTCATATATGTCATAAAATGTATATACATAATATATAGTCATAAAAAATATATAAATACAATATACATACATATGTATATATGCACACAGACATAATGTTCTCTATTTATTTTAAAGGACCATTGAAGCCACAATTTTTAAATGCCTCGTATCAGGTCAATTTTTGCAAGCTTATTGCAAAATACCCACTTTTCATCTGGCTAATCACATGAGAAAATGAATGCCCATGAGAGTAGAATAGACATTTTTTCAGCTGACCCACTGTATATATTCATGTTCCATTACATAATTATTTTCTCTACCTGCCAATCCACAGCATCCATCAGAGACAGGACGTTGGAACCTGCATCTGCAGTTTCTGAGAGCTTAGTTTTATATATTGAACGTGGAATTCCATGAAGATCTAGCTCACCAAACACCCCTAAAGAAGAAAAGCACACTCCTATTTATTCACCACACAGTACTGAGTTAGGTGCTAGTATAAAATGAAAATGTTCATTGATATATTTTATTATGTGATTAAACATTTTAGAATGAAAGGAATGAATTGGTGCTCTCTGCTTGGAGCCATGTAAGAAGACTTTGACCCTTTAACCCACTTCTGGAACTCTGGCTCATAGACATTAAAGTCAGTATACAAGAGTACATGAATGAAGATGCTTACCACAGTAATATTTAGAAACATGAGGAAACTGGAATTAATCCAAATATACATCAAAAGGAAAAGGATGGAATAAAGTTTAATATACTAATACTGTAGAATAATAGGCTATAAAAAAGAGTTTTATCTGTACATTTTGATCAGGAAAGATTTTCATAATATGTTCACTGAGAAAAGAAAATTGCATAATAATATACTTAGTTTGACCATGTTTTATGAAAGGAACAATACTATCACCACAAATCAGTATATGTAATATGAATATAGGCATCCTAGATAAAAACATAGGAAGACACATAAAAAATTTTAACTAATGCTAGTGTCCTTAAAAGAGAATTAGAAAGATGTATATTCTTTACAGATATGTTTTCTTGATATTGTTCTATGTTGTTTAATATATTACTTTTGAAATTAAAACATGTAATTTTTTTTAAAGATTGGATTTGTCTGCTTCAGGACATTTGTGAATGGTGAGCTAATTCAATCTCAAGCAATTTTTAGCCCCTTATTTACTTGGTGTCAGTTTTAGAAATCGTACAGTAAAACAATGGTAGCACGTGCTTATATGTGTCTCCTAAATAAATATGCAGTACCATTCATATAAACAGTTCTTAATTGTGACCAGGTTAAACTCTTTCAAGCCATTTGCTTTCCGAGCTCAAATAAGAATATCCACAGTACACCAATGCAACTGGGAAACTAAATCTCAGCAATAGCTGTGATTGGGTAATTGATTGCAGAGTCAACTGATCCACAGATTATTTATTAATACTATAAATGGAATAATGTGTAGGAAAGTTACCTTTTAAGGTAAAAAAATGTGAAACATAGTTTTGCTTACATAAAGAAAACTGTATGAAGAAAACCAGATTGGAAAAATAATATACACACAAAGAGATTTGTTAATATTAGTTTTGTAATAAATTACATTTTGGTTTAAAATATGCACATTTATATCTGTTTCTACCTGGTGAAATGTGATGTGATTTAATTCTAAAAATCTCTGCCACTTCTATAACCCTTTGTAAATAAAAACAAATTTCTGTAAAAGCTTCTGACACTTTTATATCAGAAGTACTTATTATGATAAAGTATTTATCATTGTGAACTGATAGGTACTTTAGTGCCATATATTTTAAAGTAGATTCTCAAAACAGATGTGACACTTCTGGTATCTGTAGACACACACCTAAGACCTTTGCCCCTTGATTTGGTCCTTCTGGAAGAGCCCAGTCTGGGGTAGTATGATTTCCTCTAAGAACAATCTTTAAGTCTCCTTTAAAAGGGTTATCTTCCCAGCCACCGATTAATCTACCTCCCTGAAATAAAGCAGAAAATTGTTAATACTTAAA